AACTGCTGCAGGTAAGTACCTGGAACCATCTTCTTCCACAGATACATGAATGTAATGAAGTTGGTTCTGAAGGTCCAGTTGGGTTGATTTACTGCTTCAGAATCAGATTCAGCCCAAACTGAATGAAACTCTTCTACTTAAGTGATGGATCAACGGTCCACCAGAGTTCTGGTTCTGTTTCATCTTCTGTGCTAAACATGTTACATTCTGACACAACAGTGGCAGGCCAGAAACATGAAGCTGGACCTGACCCGTGTGGATCAGAACCCTCACACGAGGAGTCGCATTTGGTTCTGAGTGGATAAATGCTGCCTTCAGGTGCAGGTGTCTCTCAGGTGTGCTCTGTCCTTCCACATTGTCTCGGAGTTCTGAGGACTTTACCTCCATGGTGCTGACTCGGCCCTCCTGGAAGGAGCAATCTTGCAGGTTGTTGGTGCAGATGTGACGATATTTACACCAATGACACGGAAACACGCTGCTGACACAGGAAGTGCACCTGAGGGGGACAAGCAAAGGCTCTGATTGGTCAGACGGTCACTTTAGCTGCTAAGAGTTCTAGATGTTTGAACATGATGGGATTAAGGGAGCAGCACTAAACTGGTTAAAGTCTCATTCATCTGATAGATTTCCATTAATAATGAATGTCATGAGTCAGCCGCAGAGTTCCTCAGGGTCCACTGCTTGGTCCAACCATCTTTATTTTTGCTTTTAGTGGTTCAAATGATTAGAATCGCTTTCTGTTAATATGCTGATGATGCTCAGTTCTATCATGAAGCCTGATTAACTCATTCACTGCCATTGATGTCTAAAGTTGTCATTTGCATGTTTTACTGTGTGGGCGTCGGATCGAGCCACCGCACCGTGAAAACAAACATCTCAGCTCTAAAGCCGATCATCATTCTCATACGTCACACGTCACGTGATCAGGAAGCAGAAAATCCATGTGTTAGGAGATCGTTTTGGGCCTCTGCTGTAAAAAAAGTGAGGAGCTAACTGGAAAAGCTTCTGCCGATCACAATTCGACAACAGATTATGAAAGAACCGATAACGCTTGAAACACGCAGATTCTTCTTGATGTAAGAGGTGAGTCTCCGCTTTGTTTTGACGTTGACATCATCCTAGCACGCAACGTTCTGTGACTCTTAAAAAAACAGTAAAAACGGTGAGAAACACTGGCAGCGAATGAGTTAAGGGAGCAACACTAAACTGGTTAAAGTCTCATTCATCTGATAGATTTCCATTAATAATGAATGTTATGAGTCAGCCACAGAGTTCCTCAGGGTCCACTGCTTGGTCCAACCATCTTTATCTTACATTTGCTTTTGTTGGGTCAAATTATTAGAATCACTTTCCGTTAATATGCTGATGATGCTCAGTTCTATCATGAAGCCTGATTAATACAATCAGGAAATCAGACTGGGAACTGAAACCAGTTATCTCTTTAGTGCCATCAGAAAACAGTTAAATTTCAGTCATTTCCTCTTTCTGCTGCACTTCACGAGACTGGGGTTAGCTACCCACACACAGCCCCGCCTCTGGTGGCAACACTTCCCTGAGTTTGCAGAGTAAGAAAATGCCCAAAACATCCAAAGTCTGGCTGCATCTTGAGAAAGTAAATGGTAATAGAGATAAATGTAATGAGATTTGTTGGGCTAAATATGTAAATACCAGCAATTTTATAAAGCACCTCATTGTTCATGGCATCAATTTGTGATCCAAAGCTTGTACTGCATGCAAAAAAAGCTGACTCAAGCCCACACTCAGACGACATACTGGGTTATCCTGGCTCATCCCTTTGGTTATACTGCTTAAGACAGATTGCTGGAGGTTTATTCCTGTTTACCTAGAGCTTTTGCCCTTCTACTGGGCTGCTCAGAACGGGCAGATAACATTACGTTAACCCTAACCAGAGGAGACAAAAGGGGAGACAGGGGGGGAGGGGAGGAGGTAAGGAGGTGACACTGACGAGGTGAGGACGGAGCAGTTGTAGTAAAGGATGTTGGTGGAGATGAACTGGAGTCCGGTCTCCGAGGAGCGCAGACTCAGCTGAACCACCCTCTTCTCTCCTGGAGGAAACACATGATCAACAATCAGCTGATCGGAAACAACAACAACAACCCAGAGGGGCCAGAGTCTCACCATAGGGAGGCACATGTGCTGGCAGGTCTCTCAGGGATGGGGACATGCACACCACCTGACCTTTGACCTTCACCTCTCCTGGTGTCTCTGTCAGATTCTCAAACACACAGGAAACTCCACCCGACAGAACCGGGACATTCTGGATCTGAATAGTCAGCTGGACACATCAAAGAGAAGATCCTCAGTGTGTGTGTGTGTGTGTGTGTGTGTGTGTGCGTGTGTGTGTGTGCGTATGCGTGTGTGTGTGTGTGCGTGTGTGTGTGTACCTGAGTAGGGGGAGAGGTGACTGACATGTTCCTCGGGGAGACCAATATGTCAACACACTGATCCAGGTGGGTTTTGAAGTGCTGAGGCTCCTCCCACTTGTCACATGCTTCCTGTCTGGAACACCTGGAGGGGTCAAAGGTCACAGGTTTAGTCGTGCTTCTGCCATAACTCCTGTGAATTGGGTGAGTATGACATCACTGCTGTAGGTTTGTGTATGTTCATATCGTTATGAAGTTATGAATAATTATCTCAGACTTGAACTCTTTTTGTGGGTAACGTTAACCATGATCTCACCCTCGTCTGATCTGTGTCCTGGTGTTTTCCCCTGAAAGGCAGCTCGCGCACGCGTGTGTGCGTGAGTGTGTGTGTGTGGTCGTAGCGGGTTAGGGTGCTCTCTTTGTTTTTTCTTCTTACCTGTGATGCTTCCACTCTGTTTCCTTCACTTGCTAAGCCTAGCACACAAACGTAAACATGCACAGGATTGGCTGTTGTCCAGCAGAGGCCCCGCCCTTCTTTTAGACTCCTATATGATACAAATATGCGTCTTTTATTGAACCATGAGGAGATTTTGAGCATCGCCGAGGCTTTTAGTTCTTTTTCTGGCGCGCCCTAAGGTTGTTTTCTCCAATCACTTAGAAATGTTTCTTCATGTGCCTGTAAAAGCTCCGCTGTGCTGTCTGTGACCAAGCCCCCACAATGCGGCTCAAAAGTTGCAGTTCCACCCTCATCCACTAGGGGCTGGTGTCAGAAGCGAGCAAATCCTCATTGACTCCCATGTTAAAAATACCAATTTCACAGCAGAAATAAACATGTTTACAGCCTGGTACCAAAACATGTTTTTGGTTTAAATGATCTAGTTTACACTCATGACAACTCTGAGGGGGGTGAATGTTTTTGTCACTCTTCTGTTTAAGTGTATTAAAAGCCTAAAATTCTGTATAATTAATGAGCATCAGACCCACGTGACCACAGAGCTAGCTCCGTGGAAAGGCCTCAGTAGAGCCTCGGCCTGGCCTGGAAACTGTTCCGGGATTTTGAGTCTCTGTGTGTGTGTGTTCTTTTTTGGATATTTTTGTGCAATTGTTGGACAAAATGACTTGCTGTGGCATTAATTGCACTAATAGAGCGTCCAAGGAGTCTCCACTTCATTTTTTTCGGTAAGTAAAATTATATTTATGTATTTTAGGTCACTGCCGAGCTGAGCTTAGACTTTAACATGTACTGTTTAACCATGAAATTTAAATGTAATAGGGTAAAACCCAGTGCATTTAACATAATGCTGCACTTTAGAAAATGGGTTGAAATATAACATGTTGGAGGAGCTGGGTTCCGACTATCGGCTTGTGGAGCTCTCAGGAGACCTCTGTGTTCCACCCGGTTTTACCCAGTGGTCAGCCCGGCGTATCTCTGACTCAGAAGCTCCGGTGTTGTGCACAGTTAACTCCGGTTGTAGCTAGGTTGCTACCTCCGTTAGCTTAGCTCCCACCTCTGCGTTAGCTTTGGGTTAGCTTCAGGTTAGCTTGTAGCTAGTTCGACCGGGTGTCGTCAGTTGATCCCAGCCTTACAGCCCCACCCTCAGCTCCACCTCTCTTCCCTTTTATGGAATTGTCTGGGCTTGACGGAACCTGTGACACGGCCAAAATGGCGGTGGTGGCCACCTCCCATTTAGCCTCAAAAACGTGTTATTGGAGCCTATGGAAATGAATTGTCCAGTATATATGTCGATGTCTGTGACCCGGTCGGCTCTGTGCTGTGGGTGGAGGGGTGGGTGAGGTAGGACCTGGAGCAGCAGAACGTCTTACTTGTTAAAGAGGACACACCATCCACAGTGAGGGTCTCCTGACCCCAAACATTTAGAGCAGCTGCTGTACTGCTCACAGCTCTCCACCGGCAGCTTGGTTACCTGGACACACACACACACACACACACACACACACACACACACACACACACACACACACACACACACACACACACACACACACACACACACACACACACACAGATTGAACCATCAGCTGAGGAACCCTACACGGCCCGGGTGGGTCTGGGACAGAACCCGACCCACCAGAACCCTTCAAGAAAACTAGACAAACCTTCAGAACACCCAGAATGCATTGCATGAGTGAGACATGAAACACACAAAGCTCTCCGTATCTCAGCATTAAACAGTTCACATGCACACACTGGGCTCTAATGCTGGTTCTGCTGGTACCGCTGTTCCACTGTGGGTTTGGATGTCTCGGGTCAGAATCAACAGGGTTCTTACCTGTCTGTCACTGAGCAGGTAGATGAACTGGTTGTCTGGACTCAGAACCATGTCCCTCAGAATAGCCTTTCCCTCCACCACCGGCACCGTCTCATACAGCAAAGCATTCTGGGCCGGTGGCAGGATCCCGTCCACACGTATCTGAAACAAACACACACACACACACACACACACCTGTGGATCAGCGGTCAGACACCTGGACAGGTCAGACACTCCCAGAGGAGGAAACCCTGTGCTGTGAGGTAAAGGTGTTCCCAACATCATTCCCAACATCATTCCCAACGTCACGGCCCGAAACGACTTTGCCAACAACAAAATTAATGAT